CATACACAAAATAGTCAAATTGATGAAGTGAAATTAAAAAAATAACTTGTTTCAAAATATTCTAAAAAATAAATAACGGAAAAGTGGTGCGTGCATATGTATTCACCCCCTTTGCTATGAAGCCCCTAAATAAGATCTGGTGCAACCAATTACCTTCAGAGGTCACATAATTAGTTAAAGTCCACCTGTGTACAATCAGTGTCACATGATCTGTCACATGATCTCAGTATATATGCACCTGTTCTGAAAGGCCCCAGAGTCTGCAACATCACTAAGCAAGGGGCACCACCAAGCAAGTGGCACCATGAAGACCAAGGAGCTCTCCAAACAGGTCAGGGACAAAGTTGTGGAGAAGTACAGATCAGGGTTGGGTTATAAAAAAATATCTGAAACTTTGAACATCCCACGGAGCACCATTAAATCCATTATAAAAAAATTGAAAGAATATGGCACCACAATAAACCTGCCAAGAGAGGGCCGCCCACCAAAACTCATGGACCAGGCAAGGAGGGCATTAATCAGATAGGCAACAAAGAGACCAAAGATAACCCTGAAGGAGCTGCAAAGCTCCACAGCGGAGATTGGAGTATCTATCCACAGGACACTCCACAGAGCTGGGCTTTACGGAAGAGTGGCCAGAAAAAAAGCCATTGCTTAAAGAAAAAAAATAAGCAAACACGTTTGGTGTTCGCCGAAAGGCATGTGGGAGACTCCCCAAACATATGGAAGAAGGTACTCTGGTCAGATGAGACTAAAATTGAGCTTTTTGGCCATCAAGGAAAATGCCATGTCTGGGGCAAACCCAACACCTCTCATCACCCCAAGAACACCATGCTGTGGGGATGTTTTTCATCATGCTGTGGGGATGTTTTTCATCGGCAGGGACTGGGTCATTGGTCAGAATTGAAGGAATGATGGCTGGCGCTAAATACAGGGAAATTCTTGAGGGAGTCCTGTTTCAGTCTTCCAGAGATTTGAGACTGGGGCGGAGGTTCACCTTCCAGCAGGACATTGACCCTAAGCATACTGCTAAAGCAGCACTCGAGTGGTTTAAAGGGAAACATTTAAATGTCTTGGAATGGCCTAGTCAAAGCCCAGACCTCAATCCAATTGAGAATCTGTGGTATGACTTAAAGATTGCTGTACACCAGCGGAACCCATCCAACTTGAAGGAGCTGGAGCAGTTTTGCAGTTTTCCTGTTTTTTTGTCTTATTTCTTGTTAATTTCACAATAAAAAATATTATTCATCTTCAAAGTGGTAGGCATGTTGTGTAAAACATTACAATTACGTTTTAATTCCAGGTTGTAAGGCAACAAAATAGGAAAGTTGCCAAGGGGGGTGAATACTTTCGCAAGCCACTGTACCTGCAGATTCATGCAGGGTAGTAACGTTATGAGTTGGGATTATGGTTCATTATTTAGATAGCTAGCTAGCTACGTGTCTAAACAAGACTCCACTATGCAAGTAACCATTTCAATAGAATGTTCATGATGTCACTGTGACAGCTGTCGATAGACGTAGCTGGTAAATTCGCTCTGGCTATCTACTCCGATTTCAGAGCGCAGAATAACTGATTAATTTACGAACGCTCAACACCCGTTGAATATGGCCGGTGTCAGTAAACGTTGGCAAAAAAGCGTAATTAAATTGTTGCCAGCAGCACAGTTGCAGTCACCAATGCTCTGGATAATATAAGAACAGCCTAACCAGCTCTGCTCGGGTTAGTAAAATGGTCAGAGTGAGCTGTTCCCTTATTTGTGTCTGGAAGTAGCTAGCAAATGTTAGCCAGTTAGCTTGGGTGCTTGACTGCTGCTGTTAGGTCAGAACGCTCAAATCAACCCTACTCTTTGGCCAGAGCGTCCAGTGTGTGCTCTGAACTCTCAGAGCGAAACACTCTGAATTTACGAACGGACAATCTGACAACGCTCTGAATTTACGCGCGCCCAGAGTGCACTCTTGAGCACACTCTTGCACTCCAGATTGAATTAACGAACACACCCGTAATATAAACCAGCCTTTAGTCTTGAAATCTTTGGTTGTTTAGTACATGGCCTCACATGTGAATCCTTAAAGAGCTGGGTGGGGCTAAAGCTTAAGAGGGTGTGAATGATGCTGAATGGGTGTAGACAAAGAAGAGCTCTCCAGTAGGTGTACCAAAACATTCAATGGCCATTTTCTCAAAAGTGAGGTTACAAGTTTATCAACTTTCAAAGCAGAATTACTCTCCCATTGTTCATCAACTGTAGTGTATGATATACAATTTTCTAGCTCTGAGTCTCTACTTTTATCCAATGTAAAAAAACACAATTTCAAATTTTGCTACATAAGACCGAATCTAGCCGGTCGGTCACATATGAACGTGACTGGGCATTCAAACATATCTGTATCCATTCATCATCAATAGTGTCTCCCAGGTCTTACTCACATTTTTGTTTTACATGTTCTGTGTCATCGGAAATCAACTTTGGAAAGTTTGGAAATCAACTTTAGAGGTTTGTCAGACTGTGTTTGAAACTATTTTGAATTTGAAGCTTCTGGCTTGTCCAGTTTTTGATGCACAGACAGAAGTGTTGCATCGGCAAAAGACTACCTCAGCGCTGTCACAGACTGGTCTTCCCTGGTTGCCTGACCCTGCTGAGAGACTCCTGTCAACATCTGATCCTGCTCAGATGAGGCATGACAAAGAATGACCTTGGTGTACATTTATACATTGATTCTTGGATAATATAATGGTTCAATAATTGAAATGACCATTATTCCCAGATCGTAGACTGTAGCCTACCCATCAACTCAAGATTGGAACTTTGTATCCATTCACTGACTGTTATAATATACTGCAAAATTCACCTGAGCGCCGGAGACCTTCTCTGGGACACCTGTCACCATCTGATCCTGCTAAGACATGATGAGCATAGTGTTGTGTACTGACTGTGCACCATGACAGTGAAGCATGTAGAGCTGTTAATACCATGTTAGTGTAAAAAGTAGGGAATAAGCTAGGGAAACTGACAGATCAATAACGTTACATTGCTATACTGACTAATAAAAACTCACATTGTGCTCTCAAAAAATGTCAGAATATCGTTCTTCAATTGTTTGGCTGCTGGTTTCATCATTTGATTCAGGTGTAGTGTGATTGAAGCAAAAAATAATAACTAAAGTTAGTGAAAACTAGCCAAGTTAATTTACTTCTGTTGAAACGGGACAGAACAAAGGCTACAAAACATTTCCATACACACAAGCTGTTAGATACTGCTACCTGACAGATAGCTAGAGGCTAGAGCTGAACTGGCTGTGGTAGCTACTAGCTAGTTCATTTACTTCAGTCGAGAGGGGATGAAACAGGTAATGCATTAGCTAACGTTACATGTCAGTTACACTAACTCAGCACTGGGAATAAATACTTATTTTTCTGTTAAGTCAAACAGCATTTCCTTGCCAGCGATATCAGTCAAATAAAGAGTAGCCAGTTTCTGCTCTGCTTGCTTTTACAACTCGGAGAAAAAGCACAACACACACAGGCAACAGCTGCCTCTGTTCGCACGTTCTGTGGTGTCCCTGTGGATCCTAAATCCAGTCGGCTGAAACAGCCTAACTGACCGCTCTGAGATGTCCGCATGGTCCTAAAGCATACCGATGCACCTGTTAATTGAAATGCATTCCAGGTGACTACCTCATGAAGCTGGTTGAGAATGCCAAGAGTGTGCAAAGCTGTCAAAGGCAAATGGTGGCTACTTTGAAGAATCTAAAATAAAGATATTTTGATTTGTTTTTTGGTTATTACATGATTCCATATGTGTTATTTCATAGTTTTGATGTCGTCACTATTATTCTACAATGTAGAAAATAGTAAAAATAAAGAAAAACCCTTGAATGAGTAGGTGTGTCCAAACCTTTGACTGGTACTGTATAAGTCAATTTATTTTTTCAACTGGTACCGGGGGACCTTCAGACTAGTCTTGTGAGGCCTGTGGGTGTCCTAGAGCAAAACAGAACTGATATATACGTGTTCGTGAGAGTATCACCTTTCCACCGAGGGGTCATATTAGTGTGTAGCCCAAACTGTTCGAACGCTACAGACAATGTTGTGAGAAGACCGATTTTCGGGATGACAAACACCGCTCTAGCTCTGTCACCTTTCACCGCATCGACTGTAGTGGGTTAAGCGCAGAACACAACACAACACTGCTACAGTCAATGCTTGCGCCTTCAACTACATCGCGGAAGACTGTGCCCCTCTAGCCAAAATCATGTAGAAGTTGCGGGCCGTTTTAAACAACTCGCAAGCCACAATTTATTTGGTTTGATAGCTAGCCAACCGGATAACTTGACCACTGACTAGGCTATGCACAAATTTGGATGGCACAGGAATGACTGTGCTACTGCTTCAATGCACTGCTTTTTAAATCAAAAATTATTGATTTAGGTCCAAATTTGAGCAAATTCTAAAATGTTGATTAATCGTGATTACCTAATGCCATTCATTTGATTAATTATTGCTATTTTATAGGCCTGTCACTGTAAAGATGACCTTTTAGTCTTAGGAGTATTCATCTCTACAATAGCCTACTCTACTGATTCATAGCCTATAGGTCTACCAGAAAACACAGCTTACTCTATTCCTTGTCCTTTCTCTGTGCTGTCACTTTGATGTCCAGGCAGCGTCGTCAAGACAACAACCAGACGCTGGCCGCCCGGCAACAGCCAAGACCCCTGTGTCTGTGCCCTGTGACTACTGCCCTCCAGGGGACACTAGCGAGGCGGGGAAAGGGGAACCTGGAGCTCCCGGGGCTGGGGCTGGAGGAGCGGTGGTGTTAGCGGTGAAGACGTGTCTGAAATGCGAGGTGTCCATGTGTCAGGTAAAGATATAGGAGGCCTATACATGGAATATTGCTATTCAGCACCCATAATTCAAGTGAAGTCGGGGGAGGTGCATCTGCGACAGTCGAAAGTGGGACACTAGTGGTTTCCTAACAGCAAGGCTCAGATCAACATGGCACTGTCAACATAGCTGCGATTGTTTATGAACGTTTTTCTTTATAAATGTCTAAAACTTTTCTATACCCCCATATCACACACTCACAAACTGAAAACATAGCCTGTGTACAATTAATTGGTTAGAGAGGTCTCAAGTATTACTTTCATTTGTATCCCCTGTAGCTTTAGAATCATGGAAAAGTTGGTTCCTGTTTCAGTCATGTCTTTGGCCATGTTCACATTGGTCATACAAAACTCCCCTAATGACTGATTGACAAATAGTGCCTTCCACAATGCAGGTGATGGCTGCACGGTGTGGTTGGTGAGAAGCAAACTACAGTGACTTGAAGGCAACTTCATAAAAAAACTGCATGGCCTTTGATCACATGATATGTAAAAAAAATGTTATGCCCATAATGCAACACACTTTGAAAGGAGGTGACCAACAATGGTGAACGACTTGAAAACGCCCATTCTCAAGTGTTGGATGTGCATATCACCTTATTTTTCTAAGAAATTGTAAACTTGGTTTTTTATTTTCAAGATGAGCATGACTTATTTTTTCTTAATTTTGTCCATGTGTCAGGAGCATGTGAAGCCCCACCTGGAGCTGCCTGCGTTTAGGGAGCACCCCCTGACCGAGCCCCTGGGAGACCTGAGGAAGAGGAAGTGTCCTGAACATGATGAGATGTACCGCTACTACTGCATGGACGACAGGGTGTGTGTCTGCAACGCCTGTACCATAGAGGGGGGCCACGCTGGACACACCATCAAGACCCTGAAGAACACCATGAAGGGTCTGAAGGTAAAGGCTCTAGAGTTGTAACCTATAATACAATGATTGTAGGAAGAGGGGTAGCGTTAAGAAGTCTCTGTTGGTTGGTCTACTAGTCAGGAGGGTGATGTACATGCCTAAATGTAGCACTCCAAAAACCAAAGAACACCAGGAAAGATCTGAAGGTTAAAGCTCTGTTAGAACACACTCACAAGCAAGAAGTATGTACCCCCTATCACTTTCAATCAAACAGAAGGTAAACACACACACTCCTTAGTGAACCACACACACACATACAAAGACCACACCTCTGTGCTCTAGACTAGGCCGCCACAGAATGGTCATTGAGTCTAGAACGCAGGTGAATGTCATTGTATTGTTGTCACTAGTCTGACGTGGGTGAGCGAATGAGACAATGGGCAAGTCCCAAATGGCATCCTATTCCCTATAGTGGGAAGAAAGCTATCCCATAGGGCTCTGGTCAAAAGTAGTAAACTATAAAGGGAGTAGGGTGTCATTTAGGACTCAAACAAAACATGTGATCTCACTGTTTGAATGAATTGTTCAACCCATTTCCAGAAGTTACTTGTCTGAACCAATGAGAGAAAGGGAGACATTTCCAGTTCAGTTCACCATTTACCCTTACTGTAGTCTTGTTGTCATAGTGAATGTAGTTAACACTGGTTCTCCCCCCGTCTCTCTCTCTCGCTCTTCCCCCTAACCCTCTCTCTCTCGCTTCCCCCTAACCCACTCTCTCTTCTCCCCCTAAACTCCCCCTCTGGTCCCTCAGGGCATTCTGGAGACCCAGCTACAGAAGGTGGACAGGAAGTTGAGCAAAGCAGAAAAAACTCTCCAGGAGCAGAAAGTGGAGGAACGAATTAACAAGGTGAGAGTGCTGATCCAGGATATGTTTTTTCTTGTAGACTGAATTAATATGATTATATGGACAGTGGGGGACCTGATCCTAGATCAGTGCTCATATTCTGTGACACTTTCTGAGTACAAACCCGGACTCTTATCATAATGTAAGATGTCATGTATTTGTTTGTTCACAGAGCTGTATATTTTCATTGCGTGTTTACTCCATTTTAATGCGTTTTACTTTAGTGTCAGATGAGGAGAAACTTTGGACACTGGTTAGTTGGTTTTCTCTGGTTAAACGCACACTTCTGCCCCCATCTCTCAACCCTCTCCCTCTCTCTGTGCAGAAGTTCCTGGAGGAATCGGACCAGCGGATCACTGCAGTGGGGGAGGTGTTACAGGTCCACCTGCAGGGCTTCCTCACTGCCTTAAGGGACTCTACCCGCTCTCAAGGGGGCGAGTGTGGCCCCAACATCCAGCGGAACATAGTCAAGGTGGCCCAGGACCACGCTCGTCTGCAGGATGTCCACAGCAGGATCCAGAACCTCGCCCAGGAGAACGACCCCTTCCGCTTCCTAGAGGTCAGTGTGTGGTTTTTCCATTTGATTTGTTTTCATTTGACAAAAATGAAATAAAAAATTATATATATTCAGCCATACAATGGATATACAGTTGCGGCCAAATATATTGGCATCTTTGCACTTTTCTTAAATAATTCCCTATTTCTTCTCAAATAAGTTGACATTTCAAACACTTTAGGTCACCACACGTTGTTGTTGGATTTTCAACGTTGCAGAACCAATTTTATTTTTGTAGACTTAAGTTTACAATTTTAATTTAGAAAATAAAGACATGACATGGACACAGTTATTGTCACCCCGGAGCTAGTACTTTGGCCAAGATAACTGCAGATAAATGCTTCTTGTAGCCATCAATGAGTATGCTGCACCATCCTACTGGCAATTTGGCCCACTTTTTAGCAGCAAACTGCTCTAATTCTTCAATGTTTGAGGGGTACCCTCCACCAACTGCTGTTTTCAGATCTCGCCATAGGTTTTGGATGTGATTCAGATCTGGACTCTTCGCTGGCCAGCATCTCTTGAACCATTCCTGGGTGCTTTTTGATGTGTGTTTGGGGTCGTTGTCCTCCTGGAAGACCCACAACCTTCAATGGAGACCCAATTTTTGGACACTGGGTTGAACATTGGACTCCAAAACGCCTGATAATCTGCTGATTTCATGATGCTTTGCGCATGTTTAAGGCCCCCAGTACCAGAGGCAGCAAAGCAACCTCCACAGCATTATCAAACCTCCTCGTTTTTGATTGTAGGGCGAGTGTTCTTTTCATCGAATGCGTCATTTGGTCGTCAGTAAACACAGTGCTGATTTATATTGCCAATGAGCTCTTAATTTTGTTTCATTGGTCCACAGAACATTTTCCCATGATTTTAGGCTTATGACAAGTTCAATCAGGCTTTTTGTCTCCTTCAGCAGTGGGTTTTTCCTATGTTTACCAATGACCAGATGAAGCATAGATGCGGTAAAGAGGTCAATGGAACTCGACCAAAACAATGGAAATGCCATGGAAACGCGTGGGGGAAAGATCCCGAATCTCCTCATTGTCCCCCAGGAAGATTTGCCTCCATTTAGGCTATTGTTTGTGTATTTCACACTGTTAAGGTAAGAATCAGAGTTTAATGCTTGTATGGATGTTGACCCCAATACATGTTCATGTCATCACTAATCAACTGCATTACAGTTAAAAACGACTGACTACCACCACCGATTTTTCTATGCTACCAGCTTATATGAATGTGAGTTAGCATTTAGCAGTCACTTCTTCTAAACCTGAAAAGGGAGATCTTCTAAATGTTATGCAGCGAAAACACATTGTTGGCCAATCATGACGGATTCGACGAATATCCACTTTGTTACATCCGATTTGTTGAATGTGCGCCAATCTGGCATCCTTCTATCTCCCATGGTCTGCGTTCCATTGACCTCTTTACCGCATCTATTCAAAGAAAATAACTCCCTCCCCACAATCAAACATGGTGGAGGTTCGATAATGCTGTGGGGTTGCTTTGCTTCTTCTGGCGCTGGAGGCCTTGAATGTGTGCAAGACATCATGAAATCAACAGATTATCAAGGGGCTTTGGAGTGCAATGTTCAACCCAGAGTCCAAAAACTGCGTGTCTGTTACAGGTTGTGGATCTTCCAGTAGGACAACAACCACAAACACATATCAAAAGCACCCTGGAATGGTTCAAGAAGCAGTTCTGGAGTGGTCAGCAATGAGTCTAGTTCTGAATCACATCCAAAACCTAAGGCGAGATCTGAAAACAGCAGTTGGTGGAGGGCACCCCTCAAACATTGAAGAATTAGAGCAGTTTGCTGCTGAAGAGTTGGCCAAATTACCAGTAGAAAGGTGCAGCAAGCTCATATATGGCTACATGAAGCATTTGTTGGCAGTTATCTTGGCCAAAGTCTGTGCAACCAAGTACTAGTTCAGGGGTGCCAATAATTTTGTCCGTGCCATTTGTCTTTATTTTCTAAATAAAAATAGTCCAATGACAAGGGTGTGGAGATCAATTTTATTCTTCAACTTATTTGAGAAGAAATGGGAAGTTATTTAGGACAAGTGCAAAGGTACCAATATATTTGGCCGCAACTGTACATGGACAAGTGGATATGCATTTAAAATCATCAAGGATAATACATAATAAGTGGTTGATGCTGTTCGCTGACCACAACAAAAAGTCACATGGTCAGGAAAATCTCCTGCTGTCCCAAAATAGTTGTTTATTTTTCGTTCTGTTTTCTGTAACTAATAAATGTTATTATTTTTCTCTGATTTGCTGTTTAGGCGTACAAGTCATCAAGCAAAAAGTAAGTTATTGTTGTAGGTTACAGTGCCTTCAAAGTATTTACACCCCATGACTTTATCCACATTTTGTTGTTACAGCCTGAATTTAAAATAGATTAACTTGAGATTGTGTGTCACTGGCCTACACACAATGCCCCATAATGTGGAATTATGTTTTTAGAAATTTTTACAAATTAATGACAATCTGAAATGTCTTGTGTCAATAAGTATTCAGCCTCTTTATGGCAAGCCTAACATTACAGCCTTATTCTAAAATGGATTAAATAAATAGAAATTCCTCATTAATCTTCACACTATACCCCATAATGACAAAGCGAAAACAGGTTTAGACATTTGAGCAAATGTATTAAAAATAAAAAACGGAAATATTACATTTACAACATTTAGAAATTACAGATAGTAATGAACAGTCCTGAATGTGAAAAAGTTATAGATGCACAAATATCATACCCCATAAAAATGCTAACCTTCCCTGTTAATGTAATGGTGAAAGGTTAGCATGTCTTGGGGGTATAATATTTGTGCATCTTAAATTTTCGAACTCATTATCTACGATTCATTCAGGACTATCCATAATCATGGTAGCATCCACATTAATGTTGAAGTGTTTAGAAACATTATATTCTTATTTACAATTAAAGTGACTCTAAAATGACACTATTATTTATCATTAATTTCTATTAGGCACAAAATAATCTGAAACACAACCAAACAAGCAGCATGTCACGATCATTGAAGGACGGGTCAGACCAAGGCGCAGCGTGAAATGCATACATGTTTATTTAACAAAATAAACACACGAACAAAACAACGTAACGTGAAGTCCTCAGGCTAAACACAATACAAGCCTCTACACGGAACAAGAACCCACAACTAATGAGTGACAACAGGCTATGATCCCCAATCAGAGACAACGAGCGACAGCTGCCTCTGATTGGGAATCACACCCGGCAAAACATAGAAATACACAACCTAGAAAGAGAACATAGAAAATACAACGTAGAACTCCACACCCTGACTCAACATACTAGAGTCCCGTACGTCAGGGTGTGACACAGCAAATGCATCCAACAAATGTGTAGAGTCACAAGCTTGATGTTATCATTGGGTGCTAGAAATATGGGACCAAATACTAAACTTTTGACTACTTTAATACACATAAATGAATTTGTCCCAATACTTTTGTCCCCAAAAATGGGGGGGGGACTATGTACAAAAAGTGCTGTAATTTCTTAACAATTCACCCGATATGGATGAAAATACATGTGCTGGAGTACAGAGCCAAAACAACAAATGTTGTCACTGTCCCAATAATTACGGAGGGCACTGTATCTGTAAGGTCCCTCAGTTGATCAGTGAATTTCAAACACAGATTCAACCACAAAGACCAGGGAGGTTTTCCAATGCCTCACAAAGAAGGGCACCTATTGGTAGATGGGTAAAAAAACAAACAGACATTGAATATCCCTTTGATCATGGTGAAGTTATTAACCTCTTAAGGATCGGACCCTTTTTTTCAATTTTGGCCTAAAATGACATACCCAAATCTAACTGCCTGTAGCTCAGGACCAGCAAGGATATGCATATTCTTGATACCATTTGAAAGGAAACACTTTGAAGTTTGTGGAAATGTGAAATGGATGTAGGAGAATATAACACATTAGATCTGGTAAAAGATAATACAAACAAAAAAACATCAGTTTTCTATTTTCTTTTTTGTTCCTTCATCTTTGAAATGCAAGAGAAAGGCCACAATATAATATTGCAGTTTAGGTGCAATTTAGATTTTGCCCACTAGAAAGCAGCAGTGTGTGTGAAAAGTTTCAAATTGATCCAGTGAACCATTGCAATACTGGACTATTTTGTATCAAGTCTGCCCAAATGTGCCGAATTGGTCAATTGATACATTTTCAAGTACATAACTATAGAGAACATACAAAAATGATATGGTAATACAAAATGTAAGTTTACACACTCCCAGGAATGTCATACATGATGGATCATTAGCTTATACACTAACTTTCACACATTTAGATGGCCGGGCAGGGTGGGTGTGGAGCCAGAGACAGCAGGGGTTCAAACTGTATAACCCAGTTCCTACATTTGAATATAACAATGGATTTTATCAAACAAAACTATGCTAAATGTTATTTCTGAGACACTTAGGATGACAAATCAGAGCAAGATTACTGAATGTAAGTACATTATTTACCTTCAGAGGTGAATGTATCAAACCAGTTGCCGTGATACGTTTTTTGTTGTTGTGCACTCTCCTCAAACAATAGCATGGTATTTTTTCACTGTAATAGCTACTGTAAATTGTACTGTGCAGTTAGATTAACAAGAATTTAAGATTTCTGCCCATATACGACATGTCTATGTCCTAGAAAGTTTGCTGTTACTTACAGTCATGCTAATCACATTAGCGCACGTTAGCTCAACCGTCCCATATATGGGACACCAATCCCGTAGAGTTTAATTAGACTTTGGATGGTGTATAGGGTATGAATACACCTATTCACTACAAAGATAGACGTCCTTCCTAACTCAGTTGCCGGAGAGAAAGGAGTGGCGCAGTGGTTTAAGGCACTGCATCTCAGTGCTAGAGGTGTCACTACAGACCCTGGTTCGATTCCAGGCTGTATCACAATCCGGCCATGATTGGGAGTCCCATAGGGGGGCGCACAATTGGCCCAGCGTTGGCCGGGGTAGGCCGTCATTGTAAATAAGAATTTGTTCTTAACTGACTTGCCAAGTTAAATAAAGGTTAAGTTAAATTAAATTAAATAAATAAAAAGGAAACCGCTCAGGGATTTCACCATGAGGCCAATGGTGACTTTAAAACAGTTTCATGGCTGTGATAGGAGAAAACTGAGGATGGATCAAGAACCATGTACTTACTCCACAATACTAACCTAATTGACAGAGGGAAAAGAAGGAAGCCTGTACAGAATAAAAATATTCCAAAACATGCATCCTGTTTGCAACAAGGCACTAAAGTAATACTGCAAAAAATGTGGCAAAGCAATTCACTTTTTGTCCTGAATACAAAGCGTTATGTTTGGGGCAAATCCAATACAACACATTACTGAGTACCACTCTCCATATTTTCAAGCATAGTGGTGGCTGCATCATGTTATGGGAATGGTTGTAATCGTTAAGGACTGGGGAGTTTTTCAGGATTAAAAAGAAACGGAATGGAGCTAAGCACAGGCAAAATCCTAGAGGAAAACCTGTTTCAGTCTGCTTTCCACCAGACATTGGGAGATTAATTCACCTTTCAGCAGGACAATAACTTAAAACACAAAGCCAAATCTACACTGGAGTTGCTTACCAAGAAGACACTGAATGTTCCCGAAAGGCCAAGTTACAGTTTTTACTTAAATCTAATTGAAAATATATGGCAAGACCTGAAAATGGTTGTCTAGCAATGATCAACAACCAATTTGACAGAGCTTGAAGAATTTTGAAAAGAATAATGGGCAAATGTTACACAATCCAGGTGTGGAAAGCTCTTAGACTCACAGATGTAATCTCTGCCAAAGGTGCTTCTACAAAGTATTGACTCAGGGGTGTGAATACTTATGTAAATGATATTTCTGTATTTCATTTTCAATAAATGTGTACAAATGTATAAAAACTGTTTTTCACTTAGTAATTATTGGGTATTGTGTGTAGATGGGTAAGAAATTAATTTAATGAACTTTAAATTCAGGCTGTAACACAACTAAATATGGAATAAGTGGAGGGGTATAAATAATTTCTGAAGGCACTGTATACCTGAAATGTCTGTCTGTGTGGGGTGTAACATCTTGTGTTTGTGTGTCTCCTGTCTATGGGTGAAATGCCATTTGCAGTGCGTGTCTGACTCATCCTCTCTCCACCTGTCTATGGGTGACATCCAATTTGTAATGCGTGTGTCCCAGTTTCTGCAGGCAGTTGAAGAAGCCCCTCTTCTACCCAGAGTATGTTGGTGTGGACACTGAAGGCCTGGCCGAGGCCCTGGAGGTTAAGCAGGAGGACTTCCTCACTAATATACGCTCCTGCGTCTCTCAACTCATCGACGATATCTGTGAGTAAAAGACGTGTGTGTGTGTGAGTGAGAGAGACAAAGGAGAGGGAACTTTGTGCGTGTGTGTGTGTGTGTGTGAGAGGAAAGAAAGAGCTGTGTGTGTGTGCGAGATAAAGGAACCAGGGTGTTGGAAGTTTGGAATAATTTGAATACATTTTGAATTTGTGGTCATGCACTAGTGTTGTCACAATACCAACATTTTACTAACTATATGATGCCAGGCCAAGTATCACGATACCGAGTAGTATCGCGATACCACGGGGGAGCAATTCAGTGGCCTAGCGTCCTGTTCGCCCCGTCCCCCGGACACTTGTTCCTGTTTTCTAAACGTTCTGCGCATGTGCTACACAAAACACCTGTCACTGATATTCACACTTCTACTCAACGCAACACATATTGAATGTAACTTCACACTGTTCACTGTATATAATAGAATACTGCATTGAATGGCTAATTTGCTGATATTTGCAAAGGCCTACCTGTGATTTGGCTGGAGGAATGGACACAGACACACTCCCCCTCCCTCACACACTCTGTCTCCCTCTCTCATAAACACACACACACCACTCTCTCGCCCACAAACATACACACACTGCTCTCAACTTTTAAAACGTTAGGCACCAAACAGAATGTAAGGAGCACCAGAAAGTGATAGATGTTTTATATAGTTTGGCCTATATGAATCCTACCTTTTTTGAAGCACATCTCATAAGTAGAAGACCCTTTTCCTTCCTGTGCTTAGAACTACTGTCAAGTTAACTGGTTTTTAGCTAGCTAGGTAACATGACTGAACAACATTGTTTGTTATGAAACCAATAATTAGCAGGCCGGGATTAGTTTAAAATGGCCCGCGACATGGTTTGTGAAATTATATCATATGCATGCAAAATTGTGCAGGAAGAAAAAAAAGGTAGCTCCAGGTTATGAGTCATATTTTTTCCGCCGTTTTCTTTGCTGTAAAGCTGAAAGCATGCCTGTCGCGAAGCTGTTTCCTCTCTGGCACTGCTGCGTGACAGCGAACTTGCAAAGCCTATACTCTGACTGGCCTGTGCAGGATTAAATGATATACAATGTATTAACTTCGCTCGCTTTGCGCGCTGCTCCAATGTATCAAATGTACAAATGTAACAGAAGACTGATCAGGGTCTCCATCCCTGCCCGTCAAACATTCAACTAAACAGCTGACTTTATAAACATTTTATAACAGGCGCCAGCGGGTTCTTTAGATTGGTAGGGCTGAAAAAGTTGGTATTATCATATGAAACGGTACATCGGTTTTTAAAAATGTTGGTATCATGACATTTTGTTACTGTGATATTACGTGGTACTGGTATACCGTGCAACACTAGCACGCGCGCACACACACATTTGTTTCCCAGTGACAAAGTATTGTTCTTCTCTTAAAGCTAGAATATGTATTTGGTGAAACTGCCAAATCCGTTTGGGATATTACAACAAAGTTACTTGAAACAAGAAGTAACTTTGGGGGGATATCATTGCACATGCGATAGAACAGCAGAATATGTACTGCGAAATTTCATTAACAACGCTGCCGGACGCCGCTCTTCCGTTTCATCAACAAAATAAAAACAAAAGCACTGGGGGCGAACAGTGGCTCTGCTTCACCAAATGCAGATTCTAGTTTGAATGGTTTTGTCTTCTACCAGGTCCTTCAGTCAGGGAGGAGGAGGACACCGGAGGAGAGGAGGAGGAGGAGGAAGAGGAGGATGATGATGACGAGGATGGCAGTGATGGAGATGAACAAGAGGAAGCTGAGGAGGAGATGAGGAGCGAGGAAGAGGAGGGTATACACGACCAGAACGAGTCAGCAGACGAACTCCACAGTTCGGAAGGTGAAGAGGAGATTCATTCCAACTGAGGAAATGACTATGGGGTGAATCCTCAAATCCATTCTTCCATTTAAGTCAAACTTTCTCTCAAATAGTCAAGCATTGATGTAAAAGTTTAACTTTGAATTTAGGATTTGCCAAACCATTTTGGGAAACCTTTCAAATATCATACATTCTACATCTATACATCAATGTTTAGAAGGGGAGATGTTTATGTGTGCGTCCCAAGTAGCACCCTATTTCCTATTTAGGCCTGGGCTATTCAACTATATTCTTATGAGGGCCAGATGTAAAAAAGGTTAATTGCAGGGGGGCGGACATTTTCCACATGCTTATTCTTCGAAAGAACTGTATAAAAAAAACAAAGCATACACACCAATAAAGTAGCTTTCTTAAATGTTGCTAAAATTAATTGTGTGAGTAGAGGTGCAACCCAAAAATTTGATCATCATTGAAAAGGAAAAGGCGCAATGTTCGCTCACCATTTAAAAGCTTCTTATAATATTATAATAATAATATGCCATTTAGCAGACGCTTTTATCCAAAGCGACTTAGTCATGTGCGCATCCATTCTTACGTATGGGTGGTCCCGGGGATCGAAACCACTACCCTGGCGTTACAAGCGCCATGCTCTACCAATTGAGCTACAGAGGACATTCTTAAAAGTAATAAGGTCATTTTAAAATCTGATAACGAAGTATCTCAATAAATAACACAAAGATATGTCAAGTCAGGTAATGCCAAATTCCAGTCTGAAGGAAGAATGCTTTGAATTTATTTCCCTCAGTCATTTGGTGCGTTTTGTCACAATCCCTTCTAACGAGTCCTTGTGGGCATTAGAGAGGGAAACAGAAGGCACCTACTTGTTCGTAGCTTTCAGAAATGGGGTCAAAATATTTTGTAGCTTAAACCGTTCAAACGCTTGAGCCAAATTCATATAAAGAAAGAAGAATCAACATGCCACATAATTTAGGTGCTAGAAACCATAGTGCTTGTCGTTTTGGCACTGAATGTCAGATTTTTTTCACAATTTATCAAAGGGCCAGTCTAAATGAATAAACGGGCCGGTTGAATAGCCCTGATTTAGGCAATAGGGTGCCATTTGGGATTAAGTTCATTTTTGTAGTTCAAGATTATACTGTATAACTAAACACTGGGTTTCTAGTTCTAACCTCAAACTGTTTTGTTTTTTTGACCAAAGCACTTGTTCCTAACCTGACTGTTGTGCCAGATGGGTGGGGTTTGCAGTTTTAGATCTACTCTATTGGTTCCATTAAGCTAGGCAAACTCAATCAAGTACAGTATTTGAAATTATTTCAAATGGTCTTTAGACCCAGATCTGGGGCCATAGTCATAAAACATCTCGGTGTATGAGTTTTGCATTTTAGATCATAATAAGATTATATGGACAGGGGGAACCTGTTCTTAGATCAGAACTCCTACTCTGAGATGCTTTATGAATACAGGCCCTGGTCTAGTATACAATGCATTCGGAAAGTGTTCAGACCCCTTGACTTTTTCCACATTTTGTTACGTTACAGCCTTATTCTAAAATTGATTAAATATTTTCCCCTCATCAATCTACACACAATACCCCATAATTACAAAGCAAAAACAGGTTTCTAGACATTTTTGCAAAAATAAATAATGATAACTGAAATATCACATTTACATAAGTATTCAAACCATTTACTCAGTATTTTGTTGAAGCACCTTTTGCTTTGTAAGTTTCTCCCATTCTTCTCTGCAGATCCTCTCAAGCTCTGTCAGGTTGGATGGGGTGCGTCGCTGCACAGCTATTTTCAGGTCTCTCCAGAGATGTTTGTTCGGGTTCAAGTCCAGGCTCTGGCTGGGCCATTCAAAGACATTCAGAGACTTGTCCCGAAGCCACTCCTGCGTTGTCTTGGCTGTGTGCTTAGGGTCGTTGTCCTGTTGGAAGGTGAACATTCGCCCCAGTCTAAGGTCCTGAGCGCTCTGGAGCAGGTTTTCATCAAGCATCTCTCTGTACTTTGTTTCGGTCATCTTTCCCTCGATCCTGACTAGTCTCCCAATCCCTGCTGCTGAAAAACATCCCCACAGCATGATGATGCTGCCACCACCATGCTTCACCGTAGGGATGGTGTCAGGTTTCCTCCAGGCTTGGCATTCAGGCCAAATAGTTCAATCTTGGTTTCATCAGACCAGAGAATCTTGTTTCTCATGGTCTGAGAGTCCTTTATGTGCCTTTTGGCAAACTCCAAGTGGGCTGTCATGTGCCTTTTACTGAGGAGTGGCTTCCGTCTGGCCATTCTACCATAAAGGCCTGATTGGTGGAGTGCTGCAAAGATGGTTGTCCTTCTGGAAGGTTCTCCCATCTCCACAGAGGAACTCTGGAGCTCTGTCAGAGTGACCATCGGGTTCTTGGTCACCTCCCTGACCAAGGCCCTTCTCCCCCGATTGCTTAGTTTGGCCGGGCGGCCAGTTCGAGGAAGAGTCTTGGTGGTTCCAAACTTCTTCCATTTAAGAATGATGGAGGCAACTGAGTTCCAATTCCTTAGACCTCATGGCTTGGTTTTTGCTCTGACATGCATCAACTGTGGCACCTTTCCAAATCATGTCCAATCAATTGAATTTACCACAGGTGGACTCCAAGTTTTAGAAACATCTCAATGATGATCAATGGAAACAGGATGCACCTGAGCTCAATTTCGAGTCTCATAGCAAAGGGTCTGAATACTTATGTAAATAAGGCATCTGTTTTTTATTTGTAATACATTTGCAAAAAAAATGAAAAACCTGTTTTCACTGTCATTATGGGGTAGTGCAGATTGATGGACAAAAAATAACGCTGTAATGTAACAAAGTGGAAAAAGTCAAGGGGTCTGAATACTTTCCGAATATTCAGGGAAGCGACATTTTATTTTTTTATTCTCTGGTTGAAGGCATGGTGCATTGTTATACTGTGTTTATTATTTGAATGCACTGGATAATTTATATTACATAATATTAATAATTGAAAGGTATTGCACTGACCTGCAGATATTTCCAGGTAGAAATTGTTCAATCTTTATGATTAATTTCAAAACACAATGGTTCACAACTAATTTAGTGCATTTAGGTAGCCTCTTCCAATATATTTTTGTGCTGTTATGCCAACTCCAATATTTATAACCATAGGGGTTGGCAAGATGACAACAACAGATCTGGGACCAGGCTAGCATTTAGGTGTTGTATGTGTAACCAGACACATGTGAGTGCATGTCTGGACTGAATTCTGATTGATGTGAATTTATTCCAAAGACGGATTATAGAAAGAAACCAAAGGAGACTTGAGAGACGGGTGGATGAGTGTGTGAAGCGTGGGTGTGTTCAAAGTTGTTCGCAATTTGTCAAATAAGTTGAGATAATGTTTATCAATCTGTTTGATAATGCACAGTATAACGCGTATGTTTGTAATCATTTGCACACCCACGGTCCTATTCATTAGGCACCAAACAGAAGAAAACTGGGAAGGATGTACCAGAACCTGTCCAATAAGAAGCCCTCGTTCTCCTTTCCCGTTACAAAACATTTTGAATTGGTGCGTACTAATGAATACGACCCATGTTTAATGACTTGCAGTTCGGAGAAACATTTGCAGGTCTACTTCTACTGACTGTAGCAATAGATAACTTGTGCTATTTTAGACATGCTTTGTATGGCTATCTATTTGCACAGTTCTGCAAATAACATGGTGGTATAACATGGCTTTTGTGTCTTGCAAGGGATCTGTTTTTTCTTCACATTGTTACGAAAGTTGACCTTGGATTTTTGTAAATATCATTTGACAAAATTAGTATATTTTTCAGGGATTTTCATATGGTTGATTTTGAGCAAATTAATTGTCATTCTATCCAGCCAATCAACTCCGCATGAATGTTATAAAGATAAATAAATTAAATGTGCTGTTATTACAACATTTCATTGGCTTCTTTCAGACCACCAATGGTGACGATCCCGCAGGTGAAAAAGCCGGATGTGGAGGTCCTGGGCTGGCGAAGTTACACGTGGTTGAGGCCATTTGGACATTGGCATTCCAAATTCTCTAAAATGACATTGGAGATGGCTTATGGTAGAGAAATTAACATTTGATTCTCTGGCAACAGCTCTGGTGGACATTCCTGCAGTCAGCATGCCAATTGCACACTGTGTGACAAAACTGCACATTTTAGTGACCTTTTATTGTCCCCAGTACAAGGTGCACCTGTGTAATGATCATGCTTTTTAATCAGCTTCTAGGTATGCCACACCTGTCAGGTGGATGGGTTATCTTGGCAAAGGATACATGCTCACTAACAGGGATGTAAACAAATTTGTGCGCACAATTTGAGAGAAATAAGCTTTTTGTGCATATGGAAAAATGTCTGGGATATTTTATTCAGCTCATGAAACATGGGACCAACACTTTACATGTTGTGTTTATATTTTTGTTCAGTATAGAATATGACTTTAGGTAAAACATTTTATAATGCATTCATGACTAAGACATATGCAGCTAGGCTACTTGCTACATGAAATGTCTGATCATGTAGCAGTTACAGTAACTTATAGATAGATATACACTGCATGACCAAAAGTATGTGGACACCTACTTGTCAAACATCTCAGTCCAAAATCATGGGCATTACATTGGAGTTGGTGAATGATGTTGGAATATTGCTGCGGGGACTTGCTTCCATTCAGCCATGAGCATTAGTGAGGTCGGGCACTGATGTTGGGTGATTATGCCTGGCTCACAGTCGGCGTTACAATTCATCCCAAAGGTGCTCGATGGGGTTGAGTCAGTCAAGTTATTCCACACCGATCTTGACAAACCATTTCTGTATGGACCTTGCTTTGTGCACGGGGGCATTGTCATGCTGAAACAGGAAAGGGCCTTCCCCAAAGTTGGAAGCACAGAATCGTCTAGAATGTCATTTTAATGCTGTAGTATTAAGATTTCCCTTCACTGGAACTAAGGGGCCTAGCCCGAACCATGAAAAAC